GAGGTTCTTTTCCTTTTTTTAACTCTTCATTTTCTTTTTTTAACGTTTTTATTAGGTCAGTTAATCTGTTAAAATCACCTTGGATGCGGTTAGCAAGGGTAGAACCACTTGGGATGTTTATCGCTCTCAGTTGAAAATTCAACTCTTCAATGCTGGCTTCAGACATTTTTTATTTTTTATTTTTTTTACGTATTTTATTTATTTAATTTATTTATTTATTTGAAACATTTAACAAAATAGAAATTAAAGACTATTATTGATTTTGTTTTTTATACTTATAAACTCTTTATATCCTCCAATGAGACGTTCTATTTTTTTTTTAATTGGTTCATTTTCGTCAAAATTTCTGTCTAAATTGGACAAGACGCTGTTGATCTCATTGACTGTTTCTGGTCCTATATGTGTGATTATTTTTATTTCGTTAACTAAGAGATTGATGTGAACGATGATATCATCATTTTCGTTGAATGCAACACCGAGGATTTTTAAACTTTCGTGAATTTTAATTCTTATGGTTTCCATGGTTTTTTCACATTCACTGATCTTTTCGTTGATTTTTTCATGTTCTTTGCGTGATTCTTCGATTTTTGCTTCAAGGTCCTTTTCTCTTTTGATCGATTCTTCGATTTTAATTTCCAGTTCTCTGATTTTAGTTTCTTGTTCTCTTTCTTTTTTACGGCATTCTTCCAGCTTGGTTTCTGTTTCTTTTTCTTTTTTACGGCATTCTTCGAGCTTGTTCTCGATTTCTTTCTCTCTTTTACGACATTCTTCCAGTTCGTGTTTGTGTTTTTTATGTTCTTCCAGGTCGATGATTGTGTTGTTGCTGTTGATGGTGTTGGTGGTGGTGTAGTGATATTGGGGTTGATAGTAGGTGATGGAACATTGGCGACAGGGTCTTCTCCATCTTCGTCTTCTCCATCTTCTTCTACCGCCACCGCCTCTATTCCATCTTCTCCAGCACCAGCACATGTTAATTTTCAGGAATTGTTAAATTTTTATTGTAATATACGTATATTTTTATAGAAATTTCGTACATAATATAGATTAGTTTGTATTGTATTGTTGCATTATAATAACTAATATAAATAAAATTATTTAAAATTTACGTAAATTTATTTTATTTCACTAAAAAATGAGTAACTCAGACCGTTCCGCAACTCTTAATAATCTTGTTAAAGAAATTGTCGAGGAGCAAAATGAAGCTATCATTCGAAAGATTGTTGAGGAAAAAATTAATCAAATCATAAAGGAAGAATCATCCAAGACTCATGATGATCATGTGAGAAGAATTATCAAAGAAGAATTAGAACGCGGTGAAAGAAGAGAAGAAAGGGAAGAATTCGAACCGGATGAAGAAAAAAGCACGCACATTGTGATTCATGCGCCTCATCATCATTATTCTGAACATCGTCGCGAGCGTGAGTTTAGGGAGGGTGAGCAAAGATTGCATGATATGTTGAAACGTTTTAGGATTGATTTTCGTCCGGAGGACGAATTTATTAGGAAATTAGAAAGGTTAGAGGAGCATTTTGTTAGACGTGAGGATCGCGAAAAATACTTATACGAATAGTCTTTGTTTTTGTAAATTTATTTTATAAATTTTATTAAATTTTATTTATAATAAAAAAATTTCTATATTTTTTGCTTATCCAATGAAGAATTTCTTCAGTTTTACATTTCGCATAATAACTATGAAAAAAATTTTTACCACCTCGATTATTCATATCATTAAAAAAAATATTATAAATTTCTTTGTGTTTAAATTCGTGAAAATTACGTGAAGTATCTATTACCGAATCATTCATATCCTCTTTAATAAAGGTAAAAATACTTTTTTTAGCAGGTGGAAGTTTGAGATCTTTGTATTCTCTCCCGTATTTTTCAATATATTCTTCAACACATTCATCAATAAATTTATATATTTTTTCATCAGATAAGCAGACATTTTCTTCATTTTTCCTTAATTCTTCCTCTTTTTTCAGTTCTTTTGTTTTTAATTCTTCTTCTTTTTTTTCTCAATTCTTCCTCTTTTTTTTTCAATTCTTCCTCTTTTTTTTGTCTTTCTTCATCTTTTTTTCTTTTTTTTTTCTTTGTTTTCTTCTTTTTTCTTTTGTCTTTCTTCTTCTTCTTTTTTTAATATCACAAAACCTTGATAAAAGTTATTTTCTCTTTCTTTTAACTTTTCGTGTTCATCTATTAATGCTTCATATTTTTCTTTAATTTCGATCAGGGAGTCAACTTTATTTTCAAGTGAACTCATTTTAGTTAAAATTAATATTGAATAAAATTTTTATTTATATTTGAAATATCATTACATGCTTTAACAATCATATACATTTTTGATTTATGCTAATGTTTTTATCATGTTTAACACCTAATAAACTTAAAGAAAGATCAATGTCTTGTTCGAGTTTCACAATATCCATTTCCTTGAACAATGTAAAATGTATTAGACTGTAGAGGTGCATGTATAAGGTATAA